CTCAGGGTCGTCGGCCGTCCGGAACCGAGCTTTCTTTCGATTCTCTGATTGTTGTCTAATAGTGCCAATATGTTGTAGATGCCGGAACGGGCGTATCTGGCGCCCACAAATTGCCGCACGATGTCCGTTTTCGACGCGGCGGGCTGCTGTTCTTTGAACGCACACACTTCTGAACAGAGTTGCTTCACTGTTTTTGCCATCACGGTTAGAGTTCGACTGATAGAGCTGTCAAATTTTGTCTGCTGACTCATGGGTTACTATGATTGATGCTGCATGGGTAGTTTTGTCAGTGCGGGTGAAGGTAAACCCATGAAAAATCGACAATTTTTGTCCATTTTTTTAAATGCAAACGTTAGCCTTTAAAGCAACTGGCAACTAGCCTTTTCATATATTGTCTGTTTATTTTGATGGTTGCTTTAAAATATCAATTTGGTATACATGTGAAAGGATGAATCAGTGGGAGATGGATTTTTGGTTTCTTTACATTTTGCAGCACAAATCTAGTACTAGGCGTCATTTCCTCGAAACCCCCAATTACCGACCTCTTCAATCCCTTCCTTTTCCCATGGCGTTCAAGTGGTCCGCATAGACTATTCAGCCATTACCCTTCCTTTATCCTCGGCTTTAGATTGACCCAATTGCCCCACCAAACGCTGCAAAATGAAAATGAAAATGATTCCATACTTATGACTAGTAGTGTTATACCATAGAGGTAACTCTAAGACTAGAAGGTCCCGAAATAACGTGCTCAACTTTTTGGCTCAGCTCTGGTACTCTCTTCGGTCCCAAGCTAAACGATTCACCCCTCGAAACATAGGAAAAACCAATAACCCCTCATTTTATCTGTCAAACTTTCAAAGCGAATCAAAACAAACATAGTGTAGTACTAGAATTTCGACTAGAATGGGGTACGTTAATCGTTTGCTTGGGACCAATAGGGTAGTCAAGTAGTGAGCCAATTTCAAATCCTTAGTTTCGTATTGATTGTTGGTATTATACCCCGTTCACATTACAGCCTATATCACGTAATATAGGCTGTCTTGCAATGAGCACTCATACATAGGATTTCCAGTAAAAACTAGATGTATGAGTGCTCATTGCAAGACAGCGTATATCACGTGATATACGCTGTAATGTGAACGGGGTATAAGTTTTCATTTTGAATTCACTTCATATTCAAGCGATTCCAAACATTTTCAAGTGATTCCAAACTTTTCAGGTCTGTTTCATTTCATATTCCAGTGGATCTGAACGGTTCAGGTCTGGTTACACTTCAAATTCAAGTGATTTCAAGCTTTTCAGGTTTCATTCGCTTCATATTCAAGTGATTCCAAACTTATGTCTGGTTCATTTCATATTCAAGTGATTACATACTGTGAGTCCAAAATTATCAGGACTGATTCACTTCATATTCAAGTGATTCCCAACTTCTTTTTTTATCTAGTTCGTTTATTTTTAAGGCTCAATCGCGTTAGCTTTACGGAGCCGATAATGCATTGTTCTTTGTTTGTAACAAAATTTACTTAATTCTATGTCTAGTAGGAGTTGGGCCGAATATTCGCGGCTTACTCGAGGTTAGAGGGGTACATTGTCAAAGGATAGGAAAAGGGGAGGAGCTTGGGGATAGGGTTTCGTTGTCTCATCAGAGCGAAGTCGCCAGTATGAACGGTAGTGTGGTTCTAGATTCGTCTGGAGTTCGACCGGCTATGGTGACCAGTGGGCGACGATGAGACTCATCGAGACGGGGGACAAGACAAACAAAAACTCATAAAGAGATACAAAAGACAAACGAATTAAATTCTTATACTAGACATTTGCAAAAACATATAAATCTACTGCATATAGCAGAGATTGCGGGTACCCAACACGTCTCTGATAGGGATATAGGGTTGTCTTCCTTGGGCCTCGAGGGTATTCAAAAGTCGCTCTCTGGCAGCGTCATTATCCGTACATTGCCAAACTGCGTAATCGATGTCATCGTGACCGTTTCCACACCGACAGATGTTGCTGTCCACGAGGTTTATTCCCAATTTCTCAGAACCGGTACATTTTACTTATTTGTATGCACTCTTGCACCGCGTAGTGATATAATTTCAAAACGAACTATTCACTCGGCCACACATTTTTCTACAACTTTGCTCAAGACTCGAACTTTCTATCAAGTCAGAATCACAAGATAAACTAAAAAATGCTCAATTTTTACATACACACTAGCGACACGTAGTGACATAATTTTGGACAATACTAATCATCTTCCGGATGCACTTTGTCTTCTGAACAACTTTGCTCAAGGCTAAAACTTTCTATCAAGTCAGAATCACGAGCTGGAATAACTTTTCTTAAGTCTCGAACTTTGTAGGTGGTTGGGATCATGAGATAAAACATTAAAAAATGCTCAATTTGTTATGCACACTAGCGACACGTACTGAGAGTATTCCGAACTATACCATCCATCTTTCGGATGTCTTTGGTCTTCTGAACAACTTTGTTCAAGACTCGAACTTTCTAGGTCGTCGCGATCACGGGATACAATAAATCCAAAAATGCTCAATTTTACGTGCACGCTAGCGCCCCTAGCGTCAAGTAGTGTCAAAATTTCGAACCAAACTTGGTCTTATGTACAACTTTGCTCAAGACAGCACCTTTTCAGATAATCAGGATTTCGAGATATAGGCGATGCCGGGGGCGATGCTAAACTTATTGGGGGGTGATGCCATATTCAAGTGAGTGTTCCAATACTTTTCTAAGCGATTCCATACTTCTGACTGGTAGTGTACTACAGACTTGTTTTTTAATTCTCCTCAAAATTCGATTGTCAAGAAAATTCTTCAAAGTGCCTTGACAAATTAAAAATCTGAGAGGTTTCAAAATATTCCCAACACCTTAACTCAATATTCTTGTAAGTATTATTGATGAGAAAACATCCGTATATAATCTATGTCTTGTAATCTTGAAGATTATGACTGCAATATTTGTTTTTTTTTTCTCTTTCCGCAAGTCGGAACACTATTCCTTGAAATAATTGATTTAAATTCAAGGATTCCAAAAATATCTTCAGACCAATTCTTACTTCACAATATTTGGATATAATGCCCAGTCAGCCCAATAACGATCGATCGAATGGACTTCGTAAAACTTCATGTTTCTGCAACTGAAGCAAATTTCGAGGTTCTCAGATCTCGCTTAAAAACATTAATTATGAGACTTTGAGAGTTTGGAGATGAAGCTTGAATATTATTCAACAATGTTGAACTTTTAAAAATGGGGCTGAGTTAGGAGAGGCATTCTCCCAATGCCCTCTGGCTACGCCTATGACACGTCTTATAAATATAATGTAGCTTATAATCTGTTATAATGTACTGCTAATGAAAGTTGAACTTTGTGATATTTTCTAGAACCTTTCGCTCCTGATGGCGCGGAGAGTAGGCTGTGTGTTTGAACAGACATGACGTTCGATTTCTCCGTTGTGTTATTTATAAATCTATTCGGCTGCTGATCTGTCGAATATCATCCGTGGATAGCTCAAGACCAAATCGAATTTCAAGAATGGTCAACCAACGAACGTTGAAACTTTATCAGAAGTGAAGTAGGTGTTTTTCAAATAAATTCTAAAAGAGTCTGGACCAGTTCATGTTGTTGCAGGTTCACTTGATTCCTTCGGTAAGATCTTTCCTTTTTATCTATTTATACTTCATATGCATTAGTGTTTAAGGTACGTCATTATCAGCATTAGTTTACTTAAACGATCCCTGCTTCAAAGTGTATCACGCAGTGGCGTTTCCTTAACGTTAATCTACCTGTGCACCAACTCTCAAAACATAAACAATTATCAAAATATTGCTTGCAATGGATAGATATCGAGTAAACTAGAAGGTTAAGTCTATTTTTCAGCCGATTCGAGTATGAATATGGCATTACATCTGGTTTTGAAATCTGGTGCACAGGTAAAAAGTGAGGTTACGGAACGCCACTGGTATCACGTCAAAACATTCCTTCTCAATCCCTATTTGATCTGCATTCGGGCACGGTCGGCGCTGGTATTGCTAAATATTAGATCTCCAGTTTTTTCACATTGAGGATGAATGTTAGTCCCAAACATCATCTGTTGGTTCTCTGTGTAATTGCAGCTGATCTGGCAATAACAGACCAGCAACCGTGGGCGGTCAATCATGGTCATGTTCATGCTCTAGAAACTTTCTAAATTAATGTTTATGCCTGCTATGATAAAAACTGAATTTTTCGGGATTGTGGTGATTTTCGACAGGAATGAGTTGGCAAAATGTACGACTGCTGCAAAAATTCGATATCCTACTTAAAGTAATTTATCAAATTTTGAAGTTTGAATGAAACAGCGAATGGCGCCTGCCTCTAATTATGAGTAAATCAAAACAACGTATAGATCATTATGTCAAACGGAAGATTTCAAGGTATCCTGCTGTGTTGTTTACGATTTGATTTAACCGACTATGCAGCAATATACCTATTGCCTCTTTCTGAAATGTGGGTTTGAACTCAATTCTGATTTTACACGATTTTTTTCGCCTATATTTTTGATCGTGTGATCCAACCAAATTCAATACAATTTGTTTAAAAAAAATCAAAGAAAAATCAGGTTTACCCATCCTGCATGAGGGCAAAATCGAAAAAAAAAAAAATAAAACGCGTGAAAACAGAATTGAATGTAATTGACTAAGAAACAGAGGCCTGCTTTGGGAACTTATTCATAAGTTGTTTCTAGCAACAATACAAACAAAATGGGCTCAAACTTTGACAGTTCGGTTGGTTGAGCACCTATCAGTTCGCTGCATTCTTTCATTGGACACTCCAAGACTCTCTTACACCAAAATCCGTCTTCGATCACACCGACATTCGCCGTAAAAAAACAGCCCAAATAAAAAAAAAAAACAAACTTTCCCACAGCTACCCAGAGCCTACTTGGCTGCGCAAAAAATCCACTATCAACAAACCACGCATTATATAGGACAAACAAACACAAAACCTCCGATGTTCAACAACTTAACATTTATTTCTCTCTTTGGTGCTCTTTGACTTCCAACCATCGAACTCAGTGCAGAACCTGAAGCCCAATAACGGCTACCTCCTCGTGCGGATTGTTATGCTAATTCAGCCTAATCACTAAAGAAAAACTAAATATTCTATTCACACCCGCCTACTTGAGCAGTTCGCTCAGAGCGGTGATGTAGCTCTGGGCCATTTGGAGCGTCTCGTGTTTCGATAGTTGCCGATCGTTGCCAATCGTGGGCAAATATTGTCGTAGCCGATCGAACGCCTCATTCAACGCGTGCATCCGCTTCCGTTCGCGAGCATTGGCCGCCAGGCGTCGCTTCCTTCGTATCACCGGTGGGATCACTTTTCTTTTGCTGGACTTTTTTGGCTTCTCCCCTGACAACGAAGACGACGATGGCCCTCTGGCAGGGCTCCTTTGGTGGATCCAGTTTGGGGTGGCAATCCGATCGTATGTCTCCACACTAATATTGACCCGCGGCGAGTAGGTTAAACTTCGAACGTACTCCAACGAGGTTAGCGGAATGTATTGCGGACATGATGGTCTAGCTTTCGCAACCGGGCTTGGCGAACGCAAATCGTCACTATACGGAGGCGATGGGAAGAAGTACAATTCCGTCGACATTGTCGTCACCGGTGCCAACTGAGAACTGACCTTTGAAATTCTATCAATTCGTGGAAGTAATTTCCTATCGATTAAAATTCTACGCTCTTCCGCTTTCATTTCTCTTCCGAAGGGTTCAGAAGCAACAGAGGTCCCTTATTCCAATCGAAAACATTGTAGAACATACGGTTGATGGAGCGACCGCACCACAGTTCGTCTGATATCCTTATATTTCCGACCCCTCGCTTTCCTACCCTACCCGACAGTGGACTTGTCCTTGCACGACACGCGGGCTTCAACAGACCCGGAGGCGTTGAGATGAAACTGGCTCGCTTGTACACACATGTGTACATGTAGGTATATGGTATGAGTGTGACCCACACGTGCCACGCGACCAATGAGAAATGGTGTAACATAGTTGGCTCTGGCTGGGGGAGGACTCTGTTCTGTTGTTTTTATTTTTTTTCACTGCAAACAGGTTATGTACCGGAACGCGCGAAGAGCAGGCGACGACGACGACCACCGCCATATGTGTCACATCGATTGCTTGGATGAGCGACCGAGGAGGGCGGGATGAAAGAGGGTTACCGTTGTTGAAGTGCGCGCTTTTGGTGCGTGCCGAAGCACCGAGCTACTACTGACTGATGCGATGTATGGCGGAGGGGGTGTTTGAAACGTTTATATCGCTTTTTGGGCAACCAGTTCAGCTGGAAACAATGGGAAACAATTTGCATAAATATTGATGAGGGCTCTGTATGAGAGCAAAGTGCACGGTAGCGAACCTGATGTATGGGGGTAAAAAAAAATTCGCGGACAGGTGGCTGTGACCGTTTACGGGAGAAATCGGGACAGGTTGTTGTTGGGAAAGAAAAAGAAAAATAGTTTATAACTGAAATTGAAATTATTGCTCGCGTTCATTTGTTTCATTTTAATTGAGTATTTATTTTATGCTATCCTTTAACTCTCTAAACCCCGGGCTAAGATCGAAGGTCAAAATTAAAGTTTGCATGCTAATATCTCGGCAGTCGTTTGATGGAATTTTGAATTTTTGTTTCACCAATTGAATCTCCCAGGTGTCTAGATTGACTGGAATTGGATTGAAAGTGTTAGGAAAATAGGTTTGATGTTGTCTCCTATTTATGTTGCTGATGAAGATGTCGATGGTGGAGTGTACGCCAGACCGGCTCAACCGGGTGGAAGAGTTCGACGGTAATATAGTGTAGTCAAGGTGTCGACTACCCAGAAAAACTTGGAAAGTCAGGGAATGTCTGGGAATTCTATTTACGATCTGGAAAGTCAGGGAATTTCAGGGAATTTTAGAGTAGGTCAGGGAAAAAAATAACGTTGATCACATTGCAAAAAATCATGTGAAGGACACATAAAAACAATCTTTGAAATTTTATCAGTGCATGACGTCAAAGTTTTTGGGAAGATCCCGGGCATCAGATCTACTCGCTGCGTTTATGGACGCCCTTGCCGGTATCTCTTCGAACAACTTGCTGCAAGTGTCTATGGATGCGCCGAATGTGAATTTATTTATTTATTTATTGCACACCGTCTTCGACTACGTCGTACAGACTGATTACTTAAAACTAAAACTTGTTTAATCTAAAGGGTGTCCACGATGAAATTGCCACACACAAAATTGATTCGCAAAATTCGAGTTTTCATCCGATTGCCATCAAATTTTCAGGGATTGAGAAATAACTATTAAACTTCATTTTACCATACGTATTTTATTTACAGTCCATACGCAAATGCCCGCACCTTGGCCTTAACCCCGGCCATAAGATTCTGCACAACCTGTGAATCAACCGTTTTTTGCATGTAAACCCATACTTTCTTCAGTTCCTCGACTGTCTTCACTACCTTAGGTCGTTTAAGAAGGTGCTGCTTCATAATCGCCCAGTACTTCTCGATGGGGCGGAGCTCCGGAGCGTTGGGAGGGTTGAACATTTTCGGCACGAAATTGACCTCATTGTCCGCATACCACTTCAGCACGTCCTTGGAGTAGTGGCATGAGGCCAAATCCGGCCAGAAGATTGTTGGGACGTTGTGGGCCTTCAGGAGAGGAAGCAGCCGCTTCTGGAGGCACTCTTTTATGTACACCTGTCCGTTCATCGTGTCCTGGGTCACGAAAGGTGCACTCTGCTTCCCGCACATGCAGATGGCTTGCCAAACCAGGAATTTCTTCGCAAATTTGGACATCTTCTGAGTGCGGACATACTCCGGAACGCTGAACTTATCCTTGGCCGTGAAAAACAGGTTGCCGCGGATCTGTTTGAAGTCGGCCTTCACATATGTTTCGTCGTCCATGATGCAGCATTCAACTTTCGTCAGCATGTTGAGGTACAACTTCCTGGCACGGGTTTTGGCGGACTTGTTCTGCTTCTCGTCGCGATTAGGGGCCTTTTGTACCTTGAACGTTCGAAGCCCAGCCTTAGTTTTGGCCTTCTGGACAAAACTTCGGCTTAGGTGCAGCTTCTTAGCCACATCCCTAACGGAGGCGTTCGGATTTCGGTTGAAGGCCCCAACTACGCGGTTGTGATTTTTGGTGTTGTACGGAATACTTTTACCTTCACTTCTGGGCTTCCGATCGGTGGTCAACCGTTCCTCGAACCGCTTAATCACTCGCGACACCGTGGAATTCGCGATTCCCAACGTTTTAGCGATGGAACGATGCGAGAGATCCTTGTTCTCGTGATGAATGCGCAAAATTTTATCACGCACGAGCTGTTCTTTCGACTTCATTTCCGCGAGTTTTGATCACAGGACTTTAAAACTTGCAGGATGTAAATAATGCACTATGAACTAAATCCACCCAAATTTTCATTAAATTCTACCCAACGGTTAAAAAGTTAGAGCAATTTCATAGTGTGGCAATTTCATCGTGGACACCCTTTAAACCTCTTATTCTATTACTAAACAAATTTTTGGACATAGTAAAATCAAACTCATTACAAACATCATTAATGGAACGCAAACATTAGTTAAAACAGATATTGAATCCAAAGTTAGTTCTGTAGAATGGAATTGCCAGTAATGGGGAGCTACGAAATCTACGAGAAGGAATGTTCCATGGAATCCGTTCCAGGATTTCGGGACAGTCCACATTGCCGGTGATTAGGTCGAAGATGAACAGTCGTTGCAATTTGATACGTCATGCTGAGAGAGATTCCAAATCAATCAGCATGCATCGGTCTGGATAACTGGGAAGAATGAGCGGATCATTTCATGGGAGCTCACTTAAAGCAAACCCTTATGAAGCTTTTCTGAATCCGTTCAATCGTAAGAATATGCGTAGTGTAAAATGGAGACCACACTGGGGAAGCATATTCTAAGATACTACGAACCAGCGAGCAGAATAGTGTCTTGAGGCAATAAACGTCGGTGAAACCAGAAGCATGACGACGAATGAAACCAAGCACAGTGTATACTTTGGCAGTTACGATGCTTATGTGTTCGCAAAACGTTAACCTAGAATCGATTGTAACGCCTAGATCGCGGATTGAGTTTACACGTTCTAGGGAATCCCATGCAGTATGGATGAAGAGTAACTCTATTGCTGCGGGTGAAGGATATCACTTTGTCACTGCACCAGACAGACCAGCAAACGATTTATATCTTCTTGTACTGCAACACAGTTCGCAGGAGAAACAATTACTCGAAAAAATTTTAGGTCATCAGCATAAGACAGTTTGGACGATGAGAGCAGCTCACACAAGTCATTCACATAGATGATAAAAATAAGAGGACCGAGAACACTGCCTTGTGGTACGCCAGATGGAGTGTCGAAGGTCCTGGAGCGTACGGAATTTACCACAACGAATGCATTGCGGTCAGACAGGTACGAGTTGAGCCATTCCGTGGGGAATCCAATATGATTCATTGTGATAATGATGAGGTTGTGCGGAACTGCATCGAAAGCTTTCGCAAAATCGACGTAAACCGAATCCACTTGCTGTTTTGATGCTATATCACGTGATATCGCTGACACATAACATATTAGGTTTGATGTCGTTGAGCGGTGATTCATAAAACCATGCTGGCTGTTGGAGATGATCGGGGCAGTAACTCTGCAGAGAGCTGTGTGGATCAGTTTCTCCAACATCTAGCTGAGAGTGCAAAGTATGGATATACCCAAGGTTGCAAAGACTCATTTCAGCTAAAACAATGTTTTTCTAAATTATGAAATAATTAGATGCCATGATCAAATTTTGAATTGGTAGGATACAAGAAGAGGTTGCAAAGAATGTGTTTGACATATCAAACCTGTTTATTTCACTTCATGAGAGTCACAATCAGCGATTTTTCACAAACTCACTCACTCACTCACTCAGCGATCAGCAAATTGCTGATTGTGACTCATAGAAAGCAAAATTTACAGGTTTTATGTTTCCAACGCATACTTTGTAACCTCTTCTTGTAAGGTACAAGTAAAACATGCCATCATACCATCTTTTGGTTTTATTATTCCGAAAAACATTATTTTAGCTGAAATGAGTCTTTGCAACCTTGGATATACCACGATAATTGGTGACACATTTTTTTTATTTCCAGACTTGTGGATCGGTACTATGGATGCCGTTTTCCATGCATTTGGGAACGTTCTGTCTTGGAGCGGTCGGTTGAAAATAGCAGTGATGGGCGACGCAAGCGTAGCAGCACAGTTTTTCAACAACACAGGAGGCAGGCTGTCCGTTCCGGGTCCTTTCGTTGAATCGAGATTATCGAGGGCTTTCTGAACATCGTCTGGAGAAAACTGGATGCATTGTAGATTTATGTTATGAGACAGAATCTGCTCGAAGCCGGCTTGACGTTGAACGGGTGATGCTTTACTAAATACGCTCTCAAAGAAATCAGTAAAGCTGTCTCCAAGCATGAGCGAGAAGTGGTTCCTTCGAAGTTGACCGATCCAGGGATGCCGTAGTCAGCATTGCGTTTCTTAATGAAATCCTAAAAGCACGAAGGATTTTCCTTGACGGTTGTCTGTATCCTACACAAATAGTTTTCGTGTGTTTTAGAAAGGGTGACTTTGTACTCCAACTCAAGCTCAACGAGTCTAGCTTTATCGGATACATTTTTTGTTTGGAAAATCCTGTTACGCAGCTTACGAAGCTTGTTACGAAGCATACGTAACTCTGCAGTCCACCACGGTTTGCT